GTCTCCAGTGAATGGAAAGTGGCTTATGTGAGTCCTATCTACAAGAAGGGCGATCGTCACTCCACAAACAACTATAGACAGGTGAGCCTGACCAACATAATATGTAAAGTACTTGAGAGTATTATCAGAGATGCCGCAATGGAACATTGTCATGTACCTGTAACTCTTAGAAGCACGCATGTCGTGTGGTATCTGTTTACGCCTCCACTCCACACAAGCTATTAACAACTTGTTATTTTTACTATTATCTTATTGTTGTTCTTAGTTACTTAGGCTAATTGTATATCTATGTATGTCATTAATATGCATCATTTGTGTTACTCTGTTAAGTCAAACCAAGAGTAGTATTAATTAGTTATAAGACTATTTGGCAACTATCCTGGGTCACATGAGCTAAGACGCTCCTCACTCACATGCTGTGTGGCCAGAGACTCTCTCTCTAGAAAACCATGGTATAGGCAGGACGCGCCCACACCGACTCTAGCCTCGACACTTGCCCAGTACAGACGTGCCTTGTTCAGTCATCTACAATACCCTAGTGGTATCTGGTAATTAGTGGCACGTTAACTTAGGCCTAGGAAGGGATCCTGGTGTTAAGGAATCTCCTATTTGGTAGGAAATAACCAGTTGGTTGTGATTGCTGTGTATATATTGTAATGTCTGTGTTTAATATAGTTAATGTTAAGTAGTATTCATTTGATTTAACTCCTTAACGGTATATTTTCACCCTTTCGGCATCACTCTTATTTTAATATACAATCACGTATTCCCTTAAATTCCATGGTAGCTAGACAGTACTCTTTTAAGAACATAAATTGAATTATTTAATTATCTTCCCATTTGTGACTCACTTACTCCAACTTATTCTTATTTATTCAAGAACATTCAGTTGAGTAGGTTTTTGTGGGGATAATTATTGCTGTGTTCCCTGTTTGTTTCTTTATTTGATGATAACTTGGGGTAGGTTTCACTCCCCAGGTATAAAGGATATTGGGATCACGTCAACATCTAATACGAAACAACCTTGTAAAAGATTGCCAACACGGTTTTATGCCGGGGCGCTCCTGCTTAACACAATTGCCCAACGTATTGGATATTTGGACCCATATTCTGGAACGGGGTGGTAATATCGACAATATTTACCTAGATTTTGCCAAGGCTTTCGACAGTGTACCCCACGAAAGGCTGAAAATCAAACTGGAAGGGTATGGAATTCGGGGAAATGTCCTAGCGTGGATAGAAGACTTTCTACATGACCGCAAGCAGTGTGTGGTGATTAATGGTACGAAATCGTCATCTGTACCTGTCACAAGTGGGGTACCACAGGGCAGTGTGTTGGGCCCGCTGTTGTTTGTTTGTTTCATAAATGACATGCCTGACGTTGTACACTCCTCCATACAAATGTTTGCCGATGACGCCAAGTTATTTCGGGAAATTAAGAACCAAGCGGACTGTGAAGAGCTGCAGAAGGACCTCTGTGGGCTCCAGGAATGGTCGAAGAAATGGCTGCTGAGATTCAATGTCACGAAGTGTAAGAGGATGCACCTGGGGCGCATCAATGGTAAGGGGGCGTATCATATGTCCCAACGGGATGAAGAAACTGCGCTAGTTGAGACTGTGTGTGAGAAGGACCTAGGTGTGTATGTTGACAATGAGCTGAAGTTCTCGGGCCATTGTGAGAAGAAGGTACATCAGGCAAATAAATTATTGGGTCTTATAAGAAGCTCGTTCAGATATTTAGACGGTCCGTCCCTCATAACGATCTTCAGGAGTGAAGTGCTTCCCCATCTGGAGTACTGTCACCCCATCTGGTCCCCGAGATATGCTAGGGACTGTCAGTTGGTTGAAAATGTTCAAAGGAGGGCCACCAGACTGGTACCTGCACTTCGACACCTCAGCTACCCTGTGAGATTGGAGCGCCTGAACTTGCCTAGCTTATACTACAGATGGGCAACTGAGGGCCAAGTTGAGGTGTATAAGCATCTCAAGGTGCACTGCTCAGTTGAGTGTCCTTACTTGGAGCTGGCGGACGCTCGCCCCACAAGGTGTCACAGCTCAAGATTGAAGAAGCCGCAAGTCCAGAAAACCGAGAGGGCAAACTTTTTTGGAGTGAGGGTTGTAAACTCTTGGAACAATCTACCAGAGTGTGTTGTGACTGCACCGAGTGTGAGCTCTTTCAAGTCAAGACTTGACTAACACTGGAGCGGGTTCAGGTGCATTCAGGAGCCGGTGCATGCCCAGTATTTGCCAACAGTGCGTGACAAAGACGTGACCTATCGCCCGGGAGGCTAGCAAGCCGATCTTTTGGTGAAGAAGATAAATGAAAAGGAAAAGTAATCAGAGACGTGACCGATCGCCCAAGCGGCTAACAAGCCGATCAGTGGCGAAGAGGATAAAAGTAAAGAAGAGAAAAAGTCAGGCACAGTATTTGAAACTTGTTTACCAGATGGAGACGAGAGGATTTCAAAATGTGGTGCTGTGGGGGGATGTAGAATAATGTTGGTTTTATAAATGATATGCCAAGATACTAAACACTTCTCCATATAAATATTTCCAGATGATTCTAAGATATTCAAGGAAATTAAGAATCAAATGGACTTTAAGCATTAGAGGAAGATATCTCATTGTTGTTGTACAATACTGTAATAATAATAATAATAATAATAATAATAATAATAATAATAATAATAATAATAATAATAATAATAATAATAATAATAATAATAATAATAATAATAATAATACCCTGTAAAAATAATACAGTATTTATATTATCACAATAACAATAATATTCATAATACATAGGTAATATAATTGATACTGTACTTTTAACAAACCAATTGAAATTTTAAATTATGACAAATTTTTTTCATGTTTCAAAACTTTTATAAAACATGATAACTTTTGTAAATGCATTCTAATTTTCAGTATATGACAGCCTGAGAAGATATAGTATTGTGTTATCATAATACAGCAAATAATTAAAAGGTAAATTGGTTTAGGTATCAAGGAACTATTGCAAGGTACAGTAGTACAGTACTGTATACAGATACAGTACTGTATACAGATACAGTACTGTATACAGATACAGTACTGTATATATATATGGAAACAAAACCAATAAATTCAAGTAGGACTAAGATAAACTTGTACGTATACAGCTCCTCCCCGACTTACGACCTGCCTCAGTCGTACCAAAATTTTGTCAAATTACATATTTTCGAGTCCCAACGTCAATATACAGACAAAATTTTCGTTTGTAATTCACTTTAAGATGGCTGGCAAATTTAAAAGTGAGAGTTTCGTGGTGCGGAGAAGAAAAAGAGACACCCATTTTAGATTTTCTATGTATTATTTAAGCATTTTCGACTTACAACCTGGATTTGGGTCCCTAACCCCGTCGTAAGTCGGGGAGGAGCTGTATAGTGCAACACAATTCAAAGTGGCAGTGTTGTGTTGCCGGAGATGCTACCCAAGTGTGTGTGAAGAGACTCACCGAACGGTTGAGCTGACCCGTCATTCCAGTCACTGTGCCGTTTTCCAACACCTCCCCAAAGGAGCCCGGAGATATGACATACTGGTAACTGGACGAAGATCAAGTATATTAACGTAACAGCAGAGCCAATTAGTATAGGTATACAGTACAGGTTACACCACACTAATCCGAGACCCGACAGTCCGGCAGCTTCGGGACACAAAGTGATTACTTAATCTTGTGGGGAAAATTGGGATATGTTCCACAACTACTAAAAGTCAACAGTAATGCTATAAAAGTTGTGGACAAATCATTACAATTATCACAAACTGTACTCATATGTACTAAGTTAATTACTAAAATCTTTATGTCTAATACAAACTATGGGATGTTTATACTCACACTAATTGCTATATTACAAGAATTCCAGTAATGCAAGTTATAATCTGCCAAGTCATTGACATTTTATAAGCAAAAAAATTAAAACTCCCTCTATTGTATAATCCTGAGTCCCTGATCCCTCCCCACCCCCTCCACGGGCCAGGTTATCTCCCCTCCTGGTTGTCAACTCCTCAGAATCCACCATATTAAACCTAAGTGAGCCAATACATGATAAGGTAATGATTAGTATGATCCATGCACATTTGCACAATATCATTGCACCCGGATCATACAATGAGGAATTAAGGAAAATGTTTAAATTGAATAGCCTACCAGAGATGATATTTCCAGAGAATCCACAATCCGAAAAACTATTTCAGGCAACATATGCAAGCGAACTGAGAGAAAGACTACATCTAGACGAACAAAGGTTTGAGCAAGGAGCAACAGCTGATACACAAGGAACACAAGCGACTGATAGAGATCCCAGACAAATGACTAGAAGTGACAAAGAGAAGATAGAAATAACAAAAGGACAGACTATAAGACAAAGGAGTAGGAGGAGAGAAGATAAGATGGAAACTGAACACAATATACAACCTGAATCTGCTGAAGATATTGGATTAAAAGTTATCACTACAACAAAACATGGAATCCCAACATCGAGACCAACAGGAGGGACAATAGTAAAAAACTGTGAAGGAGGGATATACAAGTGGACATATCAAGAAAAATCCCTAAGTGAAGATTACGTCTGGTCACTAATTACTACGGACAAACTAAAGATTACGACCAATGACTTTAAAATAGTAGACCCGTCAGAGTTTAGAAGAGTCAGAAGCGGGAAACAGGATGATAGGTCTCCACTCCAACAGTTACAATCCAAGTATAAGAAATAATGGACAATAGACAAACAGTAAGAACTTTAAGAATAATACAACACAACGTAAGAAACTGGAAGACCGAGAGAATTAACCTAAGTAATATATATCAAGAAATTGACCCTGACATTATACTAATAAACAGCCACGGTGAGACAGAAAACAACAACATAAAACTCTTTAACTATTATGTAAACCAAAGAAATAAATCGGGCGAGAAAAATGACGGAGTAGCGATAGCGGTTAAAAGAAACTTAAAATTTAAACTAATTGATGACTTCCAGGATGAATTTCTAGCAATAAAAATAAATACAACTCAAGGAGACGTAATTATTGCTACTACTTATCTCCCACCGAGACGACCCTACTTACCTATAGAAGACCTATTAAAATTGGCTAACAATAGTCATCCGATGTACATCTTAGGAGACTTTAACGCCAGACATAGGATTTTTGACAATACAAATAATAACGTCGTGGGAAACGCCCTTAATCAATTAATAAATTTAGGGAAAATCAATCATCTGGGTCCTAACTTTCCAACCTGGAGAAATCACAATACACAATCGACACCAGACAAAATTTTTACCAACAACAAGGCCTTTTTCAATTACCATATAATACAGTACCTTTAGACTAACACAACTAACACTTAACTAACACCTCTCAAAAAAAAAAAAAATGTGACTACCCTCCCAGTTACACAAGGACCTGGGCGGGCTCACTAACTCCAACAATAATAAAAATAATAATAATAAGCAGCATTATATAAATAAACCAATATTAATACAAAGGTCTGACGACCCAAGGGAGCAGAACAAAGACAAAACACCAATAAGAAAGATGAAGCGATCTGGTTGAGCCCAGATTCTTTCTACTCCTACTGTATTTCAGTTTCACCACTTTTCCTTCAACCCCTAATAATCTTCTTTCACCTCTTAACTAAAGACTTTGTATCGTATCGTATCGACCTGTCTCTTTTCTACCTACACCAACCAGCCAGCAACACCTCCTCCTCCTCCTCCTGCCTGGCGGTCCTCGCTCCCGCCGGAGAGCATGGCGACCCACAAGCTGGTCCTCCTCTGAGCATCCTCACCAACCAGCTCTCTCTTCTTCTAGCTACAGCCGCAGCAAGCTACACCACCACCTCCTCCGCCGCTGCCTGGCGGCCCTCGCTCCCGCCGGGGAGCATGGCGACCCACAAGCTGGTCCTCCTCTGAGCACCCTCACCAACCAGCTCTCTCTACATCACGCTTGTAACCACGCTGCCACTTCCCAGCACCAAGCTGCATTGTACATCCAATACAACATGTATACAGAGAGCACATTGTGAGTTTCCTTTCTCCATCCCATCCTGAGTGCGAACCCAAACATCCCGTAACCCACAGTAGTAGCAGAAGTAATAAAAATAGTATCAGTAATAATAATAATAAAAGTAGCACAAGTAGTAAAGGAACAAGATAAAATACATACCAGAAACCAAAGTGTTTTGACAAAATGTCGTAGATTTCTTCCAACACACCTGTTCCCTTAATGTTGGGCGGCTCACCAGTCAACGTGATGAGACCTGGGTACTGAGACAGGCAAGTTCGAGGTGAGGGAAAGATATATTGGTTAATATACATCACTGTAAAATTTAATATGTATTCAAAAGATACATACACATTCCCATACAAAGACATTCTGACACAAACATGTAAAAGCATTCACACACACACACACATATATATATATTACTGGGCTGAAGTAAGTTGCATGTGTGTATGTTTTTTGTGGAGGTTAAGTTATGAATTTCCTGCAATTAGCCGGTACTTTTTTTTTTACTTAGGTTAATTACGGATGCAAAACTCAATATGCATACACAGCTTTACCTGCTAATATAACAGTAATTGGTTAAGAAGAATGGGTCTAGTTTTTGCCTAAGTCCATAACAATATATAACATAACTAGTACATTCTCTAAGGCCCATTAGATCGACATAATGGTGATATTTGTGGCGATGAAAGTATATTTCTATTATAAAAGTTGGTGATCGTATAATATAGCTTAGATTATATAAGTTACCATTCTTAATGTAAGTTGAGTGAATTATATATTTTCCCCTTTTCAAAACGGCAACATCTCATCAATGTTACCAATATTGTCTCGTGTTTATATCCACACATCATCACATAATATCCATACCCAACTACACATAACAGACTATATTATCCTTACAATAATAATAATAAAATCTAACCTGATCAACTCCGATTTTGAGGCACAGTGTCTGGTTATGACTCATGCTGGCTGCTGTGTTGTCACCGCTACACTGACTGACTGACAGGTGGTATACACTATATTGTTCTCACTACAGACCCTCGCCACGGTTCCACCCATCAAATTGGCTCTATCGTCATCAATTTCCTGACCAATCATAGATGTACTCACAGCGTCAATGAAAGGTGATTGGAGGCTGGTAATACCTCTCTAGCCAATAATATCACTTCCCGTGGACCGAATGCTGTGTAAAATGAGCAGAATAAATCAGTATATTATTTATGCTAACGACTCCATTTCTACATAACGATTTTTTTCAACAAAAGGTTAATTTTACTCGTGGAAATTCAAGCTGACGTATCAGTATTCGTTGTCATTTATAAAATTGATCATTCACGACTGGAGTGAACTTTAAGACCAGTGAGAGCACCAGACACGTCATCCAAACGGTTCCTTAACGCTACGACACAAAAGTAACGCCGAGACTTGCTGGTGGATAACTAACTAGAGATTCCTTACCTCTCTTACTTCCAATGTTGTTACGTTTTGATTCATCAAAAGTGTAACTCTACATGAAACACGACGGCAATCTCCAGAATTCATGATAAATTTCCATTTTACGCTCTAATCTATTTTTTAATATACTGTAGAATGTAAAAATTTTTCACAGATAGATAACATTGGTATATATTATGAGGAAACATATGACATACGACAGTTACGACACATCTAACATACAGTAATTCACGGTCATCCTGGTGGGAGAGAGGGAAGTTGCCACTGATCTACCCGTAGGCTCAGGAAGTATGAGCATAATACAAGTGAAGGTTACATTAACACAGATCAACTTTGATTTATTTAACAATTCACCACGGTCACTCCTAATTGTTCATACACTGGAGTGCGTAAAGTTCAGATGATCCCCAAATTCGGCTTTTCTGTTTATTACTTCACTCATTATATGCAAGTTCAAGTCTAGGGAATAATGTAATTGCCATGCACCAGAATTGGGTCTGATGAGATAACGATTTAATATACAAGACCGTAATGCAGAATTTAAAGGGTGGAGAATCTTCAGTTGGTCAGGACAAATGGGTGTGGGCTGTAACATTGACCTGACCTATATTAGAGATGATGCACATACTTAGATGACCTGACCTGATGATGTGCTTGGTTAGGTCAGGTGGACACTGGGGGTGTGTAATCGTTGATGTGCGACTCCACCACAAACCTCTAAAGGATATCTAATACTTTGGGCCAGCAGTACTTAACTTGGAAGGTACAGATGATGATTTGGGTCGTCACGGCAGGAAACGGAGTATCAATATTTAGCAAAAATGGATGAACACTGGTTGTTATTGTTTTGACCTGACTTAACTTGTCACGACTTGACCTGACTAGTCACGTCGCCCCTTCGCTTAAGCTCCTCTACGTGTGTGTGTGTGTTGGTGTGGGGAATAGTGGATGACATCATTATGACATGACCTCATGTTTAATAAGGTCACCCTGTATATTTAAGCCTTTCTCTGTCTGTATAATCCAGTTGCTTCTGAAGATGTCTTGAATAAAGACGAAAGCTAAGGTGCTCCCTTGTTTCCCTTTTCCCAAGTGATTTTATCAAGATAATAAATATATATATATATATATATATATATATATATATATATATATATATAATCCAATCCATTTATTAAACACATGCACAGATAACATGATTACAGTAATATGTCACTTGTACAATTTTCTCGAACAAGATCATATAATTTCATCAAATCTGAAATTCCAAGTCAATCACATTATGTATTGAAACATTAATCTGAGGCATTATTTACCTCAGTGAGAAGAGTGAACAGCAATCGTCAGACTACCATGATTACTGCTACCATGATTACGGCTTCCATGATTATTCTTCCGTGACTACTACTACCACCACCTTGACTATTACTGTTATTACCATTACTACTACTACCACGGTATTCTGAATGGGTGGAGGATACACGTAATATTGGTGGTAGAAGGGCCACAATAAAGTTTCCATTCTACGGGATCCTCGGGGCAACTATGTCCAAGCCAACTTGACTCCTGATGTCCGAGACCGACCTCCATCTAGAAGACAGTGGCGAGGGTCACTCATCCGAGCCCTTCAGGAACACGACCTCCTGCCTGATATTGTTGTCACCCCTACTGTTGGTTCGTCTCCTTCTCCCTGGCTGGATTTTCAACCTGAAGTGATTGCCCTCGGTGGACCGCTCCCGAAAACCCAGGTGAACCCTGTTATTCTCTGCAAATACCACCTCTCCAGAATCGCCCACTGGTCCCCAGGTAGGGTCGTCCTCTACACTGATGGTTCTGTTGCCCGCTACAGGTAGGGCCGGGGCTGGTGTCTACATCTCCCATCCTGATGCCCCTGAGCCTATCAAACTGTCTCTCAGAGTTTCTGATGGGACATCCTCCACTCAGGCGGAACTAATAGCCCTACTTGCTGCCCTTCTCGCTGAGGAAGAAGCAGATGGTTTCTGCCCCTTGCTTGTCTGCTGCGATTCCAGGTCTGCTCTCGACGGGATCGCATTTGGATCAGGGGAAAATAAGGACCTCATCCTCCGAATACGAGGGTTAACATCCACACTTCAGGATGCAGGCCGTCCTGTGACATTCCTATGGATACCCAGTCATGTCGGTATCTTGGGGAATGAGGCAGCAGATGGCCTTGCCAAGACTGGCTGCAACAAGGCCACACCTGACTACGTTGTTCCTCGAACACTTTTACAGCTAAGGACCCAAATTCGCCGCAAACAGAGAGAAGCTCGGGAAGCAGCCATCCCCCTGAACTCCCCGCCCACCTGGTACGATGTCCTCCGTAAACTTCCTGACCTCTCATACGTCTATGGGAAAGGGTCTCGGAAATGGGACGTGATTGCTGCCCGTATCATCATTGGGTATGACTTTGCTTGGGAGATTGGTATCCCCGCATCCCCTGAGCAACGCTCTTGTGCATTATGCAGAAGACCCGACAGCAGCACCCTTATCCACTACCTCCTAAGATGTCCCCACACACAACGCTTCCGTGACGCCTGCTGGACCACCACTCCACGACCCCCTGACGGAGACACGATGATCCTCCCCATACTGGCCAGCTATTATGTAAAAAACATTGATTATGTGTTAAAGGAATATCGTTCCTTCCTTAGGCTTTAGTAAGCCCCTTTATAATATTTATGCTGTATATACTTGTGACACTTGCCAGATGCTTCTGGTGTCATTGTACAGGGGTACCTAGTGACAGCACTAGGATCCCGCTTCCTCTATCAAGGAATAAACAATTGAATTGAATAAAGTTTACAAACGTTAAGTACAGTAAAGTTTACAAGCGTTAAGTACAGTACAAGTGGAATAAAGTAAGTCCTTCGTATTTAACTAACTCGGTTGATGACAAATCCAGGTCCAGGTTCAAATATTACAAAGGAAATTACGATGGGATGAGGGAGGAGATGAGGAGTAAACACTGGCCTGACTTACTAAGGAATAAGAACGCAGATGCTACGCTGAATATCATAGCCAGTTAAGTGAACCATTTGATCGATAAATATATACCTAAGACCAAACCCAGTGCCTGCAGGAATACAAGGAGACCCCCTACACATGAACCATGCAGCGGTCAACAAAGTTAAGAAAATTCAGGATTTCGAGACTAGGGTTTGTACAAATGATGAGCAGGACAGGAGGATGTAAGCCAGATCCAGGAACCAACCAAAGTCAGAGTGTAGAAGGGCTGAAAAAGAGTTTTAGACTGATTGCAAACGAGGTCAAGTCAAACCCAAAGGGTTTTTACCGAGTAGGAGTATCAGACCCGATGGTAGTTATGCAGATTTTGTCCAGGATAAGGCAGAGGTTGAACAAATTCTTGTCCTCGGTTCGGATGCGAACAACCATTCTGCGTTATGAGAACAGGCGGCTTGACAGAGCTGACCCACATTGTGTTTTCGGACGAAGTTATAAGAAATAAACTGTCAGAGCTAAAGATTCACAAGAGTCCCAGCCCAGGTATGGTACACCCCAGGATGTTAAGAGAACTGTGTAACGAGCTTGCGGAACCCCTTAAGATCCTGTCCGGCAAATGCTTTGATGAGCAAAGGGTCACCGATGACTGGAAAACGGCTATGCGAGTCCTATCTTCAAGAAGGGCGATCGTCACTCCACGAATAATTATAAACCAGTGAGCCTTAGCAGCATCGTGTGCAAAGTACTAGAGAGCATCGTAAGAGATGCCATGATGGAGCATCATCTACGAAACAACCTCGTAAAGGAATGTCAACACGGTTATATGCTGGGACGATCCTGCTTAACACAATTACGCGAGGTACTGGAAGTTTTGACTCAAATTCTAGAACAGGGTGGTAATATCAACAATATATACCTAGATTTTTGCCAAGGCTTTCGACAGCATACCTCATGAAAGGCTGAAAAATCAACTGGAAGGGTACAGGATTTAAAGTGTCCTAGCGTGCATCGGGTACTTTCTCCATGATCGCAAGCAGTGTGGTGATCAATGGTACGAAATCGTCATGTGTACCTGTGAGAAACGGGGTGCCACAGGGCAGTGTATTGGGCACATTGTTGTTTGTTTGCTTCATAAATGACATACCAAAGGCTATACATTCCTCCATACAAATGTTTGCGGATGCTGCCAAGTTATTTATGGAAATTAAAAACCGAACAGACTGTGAAGAGCTACACAAAGATATCTGTGAGCTTCAAGAATGGTCGAGGAAATGGCTGCTAAGATTAAATGTCACGAAGTGCAAAATGATGCACCTGGGCCTCACCAACAGTAATGAGGCGTATCACATGTCCCAACAGGACGAAGAAACTTCAATGAGACGGAGTGTGAAAAGGACCTGGGTGTGTATGTCGACAATGAACTTAAGTTCTCAAGCCATTGTGAGAAGAAGGTGAATTAGGCAACGAAACTGGTAGGTCTTATAAGGTCGTTTAGATATCTGGATGGTCCGTCGCTCGTCACGATCTTCAAGAGTGAGGTGCTTCCCCATCTGGAGTATTGTCACCCCGTCTGGT